CATCATTGATGGACTCAAGTGTGGCAGCGGTAGTGAGGTTGGCCCAGGATCGGACATTGTTTCATTCTGCTGTGCATGGGGTCGCTATGAGTCAGTTCTGACTCGATGGCACCTGACAACAACAACAACAACTATAGAGAAATAGAAGTAGAAATATACTAACGTTTGTATGTCATGAATTCACTTTAGAGATTCATATTATGATATCACAAATACATTTGATTATGGTACAATGTTTGTATAATTTTTCATAAAGATAAGCTTACTTGCAAATTTTAGAAAAGCATGTCCCCAAGAAAATGAAAGTTTTGTGATATATATTTTTTGATGCTTGCTTACATACGCCACAATGTTTATTTTGTATAAAATATGTTAGCAAATTAATGTGTTTGGTAGAAGAGTCATATATTACAAGTGATCAACAACAATAAAATAATCTATTTGTGTAGAAAAGGGAAAGAAGTACTGCAGGAAAAATAAAGAAAAGAAGTTCATCTGTCTTTTGTTGAAGGTGAGAAGTTTTTATGAACTCAGAAACTACACTGGAGAGATAGATCAGATAATTCTCTTACAACATTTTTAGGGATTCATATGATTTCCTGCTTTCTCTTTATATATTTATCACATATCATTTGAATAGATTTTTATAAAAGCATTGATAGATTTAAAACCATTTATTGGTAGTTTCAAATTGTCATGTCATAATGAAAGTACATAAAAGACAATAGATCAGAATGAACGAAGGCAACCTATACTGTAAAGTGGATACCAAACACAATTGGGAAGAAAATGTTTTCTTATCTCTGTGATCATTTAAATATTAAAAGCTCTTAGAATGATAAGTACTTGTATTAAATACACTCAATGATGAGATATTTCTGATTATATTAAGAACATGTTTTTTCACATTTAAAGCTAGAATTAGAAAATACTTTATACATACATGTACATGAAGTGCTTGTGATGTGCTTAACTACTTTCTAAGTTTATTTATTTTAATTGTCAAGATAGTTTTGATTTTTTAGAGATCAAATAGAAATCATGGCATTTCTTGGATCTCAATAGCTTTGAAATTTGAGAATGTTCAAATGTATGTTAGTAGTCTTCCTGTTCTCCCCACTCAACAACTGGTTCATCATTCATGTGCAGAATGAGGTAAGAAAGGAGCTGAAAGAGATTCTGCCAGAGTAAGAGAGAGATATAAAAGGAGAGGCCGCTCTTATCTACTTCACAGTGCTCATCAGCAAACGCAACATCACAGAGCCACTGGACGTGGTTGAGTAAGTCCTGGGACCGGCCTCCATGGAAGCACGGATCAGAAGCTCACTCATCAATGTCCTTTTCACACCTTGAAAATAAACAGAAACAGCAGAAATCCAGCATCCTGTTGAATAAATTGGATGTGAAATGGGGAAAGAGAAAAATTTGCCTGGATCTCCCCAGAAGATTGCAATCTATCTATCTAGTTCTGCACAATTTCTGTATAATTGTCACTGGACTATTAACTGCAAGATCAGCATTTCAAGCCCACCAATTGGTTCTTGGAAACCCTAGACAGAGTCACTAAGAGTTAGGATCGAACAGACAGCACTTAACAACAAACAACAAATGGCATAAAAGGTTTTCTTTACAATTCTTCTTAAACAAATTTTGGTTTTAATGGAATAATTTGTATACACAGTTAATTGGGATGAGAAAGCAGGTGCAAATACTTAGCCACCAAAAGAAAATGGGGCCTTGCATAAACTAGTTTCTCCCTCAAGAGCATTAGTGGGTTTGCCACCTTATAAAAATCTGGTTTATTAGAGGCATGTGGGAATCATGAGAGCTGAGAATGAGGTGGTATGCTGGCTAGAGTTGGCAGAACAGACCTGGTGCAATCAAGCTGCCCTGCCTGATACTAGTGCATCACTGCCCTCAGGCTAAGGGGAAAGGCCCACCAAAGACAAATGAATTGTTACAAAATGAAATCAAGTACTTAAATGATCTGATGTGCTAATGAATATGTGTTCCAAGAGCTAAGCATAATATTTGAATGTTCAGGCAGAATGACTTCCAAATCAACCAACATCAATGGCAAGGTAAATTGAAATTTTCATCTTCTCTGGATGTTGTCAACAGATACTATTTTTAGCATCTACCATGTGCCAAGAAGGACTCTGAGTGGTACACGTGGTTTGCACTCGACTGGAGTTCTCGTGTGGTGTTGCGGGTTAATGTGCTGGACTGCAAGGTCAGGTCGAATGACAACGTGGGCAGTTTAAGCTCTCCAGCCGCTCCTCGGAAACCCTATACTGGGTCACTATGAGTTGGAACCGACTTGATGGCACTTAACAACTGACTTAAAAGTAGGGGGTGGTTGGAACCCACCCAGTGGGTACCAAGGAAGAAATGCCTGTTGATCTACTTGTGCAAACACTATTGCTGTGTGTCGTGAAGTGGGCTCCAACTCACAGTGACACTACAGGATTGATTAAACGGCCCCACACGATTTCTGAGGTTATACATCTTTACGGAAGCCGACTGCGTCAACTTTCTCCTGCAGAGAAGCTGATGGGTTTGAACATCTGACCTTTTGTTTAGCAGCTCAACACTTACCCCACTGCACAACTAGGGCACCTTCCTTAAAGATCACAGCCAAAATAACATGGAACAGTTCTAGTCTTTTTTAATACATGGGGTCAACATGAATTGGAATGGACTCCATGGAAATGACATTAGTCTTCCTTTGGACAAACACTCCTTGCTCTAGGGATAGAGCAGTAACTAGGCATCTGTTTTCATTTGAGAAATTTCTATAAAATCTTTGCTTCAAGAATCTCTACAGAACAGTTTATAATGTTGAAGTTTGGTGTAAACAACATTATTATTTCGCCCTAGCCACTCTTTCACCTCCCAAAATGTGAAACTTGCATACATGGGCCATAGACTAATGACTAGGCTGGAAATGAAAGGGGATGAGGTGGTGGGACAGGGTCGGTCTAAGGTATCAAGGAAAAAAAGATCTCTTCCAAGAAAAACAGTCCCTTATCCTGCTGGATACCAAGCATAGCTGAAACACTTTCTTTTCCTTTTTTGGCTAAGGCCTCTGGGCTGGAAGGAGGCTCCTCGGATTAGATCTGAGCATACTTGACAATTCTTAGAAGCCTGCCAAACACTCTGTTCTGGGTGGGCCAGCATGTCCACACCATCTATCATTTACAACCTGCCAGGATAACACTAGTAAGTTGGAAGTTTAACTAGGCAGGAGAGAAAGCAATGTGTCAGAGGACAGCTTTTCAACATCTTTGGGCATAATCGAAGTCACACTCTCGAAGGCCTTGGGAGATTGCCCAAAATTTCCTAGTCTTCCCCACCTACTCTCTTTCTTTTAAACTCAACAGTGCACTACTCAAAGTGCCATTGAAGGTTTCATTAAAGATTTATTGTTGTTGTTGTTGTTGTCAGGTGCCATCGAGATTTATTAGTAGATAGAAAGTCAAAATAAATAAATTCATGAACATGCTGTAAATGAATTAATGATGGTTATTGTTGTTTAGTAAGGAGCTCTGGTAGCGTAGTGGTTACGAATCGGGCTGCAAACCTTAAGGTCAGCGGTTCGAAACTACCAGCCGCTCCGCGGGAGAAAGATGAGGCTTTCTACTCCCGTAAAGATTTACACCCTCGGAAACCCTGTACAGGGTCGCTATGGGTCGGACCCGACTCGATGGCACTTAACAACAACAACATTAGCATCCCACAGTGTCACACCTAGAGAAAAACAATCCAAGAGTCTGAATGAGTTCTGTGCATTGTCTGACAGTGAGCAAAGAAGCAGACAGCCCTTAAAAAATAGCAAAGAGTTGTTCAAAATTTGTTGTCAGGTACCATTGAGTTATTTCTGACCTGTGACTGAGTAGCACTACCCAATAAGATTTTCTAGGCTACAGTCTTTAAGGGAAAAAGATGGATAAGTCTTTCTCTCACAGAACTAATGGGTGGGTGCAAACCACCAACCATTTGGTTAGCAGCCTAATCCTCATACCACCAGGACTTCTCGTTCAAAATTTAGAACGAAAAAATATTTGCAACCTTTTTGAAGTATATGAAATTGGAGGCCAGTTGAGTAGTCTTTGAGTTAGTATGTTGAATGACATAAATTGCTGCAATAGACAGTAGGAGTAGGATGCAAAGCTATTATTCCTTTCCATGTTCCTATAAGCTTGGGCTACCTGCACCACTTTGTACCAATCACTGAAGGTAATCTGTGAAAGGAAGGTCATTGAATGTTACCAGTTGCCATCAAGGCGATTCTGATTTATGAGACGACATGTGTTTAAAGTGAAGAACTGTGCTCCCTAGCATTTTTTTCAAGCAAATTACCAGGCTAGTCTCTCAAGGTGCCTCTGGATGAGTTCGAACCACTAAACTTTTTGGTTAATAGTTGAGTGCTTAAGCATCTGTACCACCTGGAGTCATAGTGTGTCACTGTAGGATAAGCACTGGATAGTTAGCAGCAAGGTCAGCAGTTCAAGCCCACCAGTCACTTTTTGGAAATACTATACAGGGTCACTATGAGTCAGAACCAACTGCATACCACTTAACAACAACAGGACCAGCGAATGTTAGAAAAGTAAAATACAAGTATGCACCAGCCTGCATACTTTCTGAAAATGGTTAAAAAAAATTTGTATTTTTGTGATGCTAAAATATAATCAAAAGCAGAAGAGTAGAAACTCAAAATAATCCAGATGGCAATTTTCATGGAGGGCAAATATACCTATCACTTTATTAACTACCCTTCTTGGAAAAATGAATTCAGTCAAAGCCTCTGTGTCAAATGTGTTTGCTTTTCATTTATTTAATGTATTTGATGTAGGAAGCTGAAGCAAAGGTTTATTCAGAGTGATACTAGCACTTGCTAACTGGAGATGTAAGCAGAGGTTCTGAAGGCAGCTAATTCTGTACTGTATGTTTGGATTGGCATCTCCACTGTCATTTAACCTCTCAGCCTCAGTTTACAAGTATGTAAAATGGAAATCTTAAAACCTTTTTTGCAGAACTATAAGAATTAGGAATAATGTTTGTAAGGTCATGGCAGAGTATTCAGTAAATGGTTAACTATTCATTATCTGTTTACATAACATAAAGATTCCTCTTTTGTAACCATTTTAGAGACATAGATCCCTTTGGGAATCCCATAAAAGTTATGGCATATACACATTTTCTAACCATCACACTGTCCCCAGCTAGTCAAACAGTCACCCAGATTTGCCTTCCTTTCTAGCAGGTTACAAATTGTCTAAAAACATTGACAGACCCCATGTTAACAACCCCTAAGCTAGGTGAAGAAGAGTTGCAGGGTTTCTCTGGAAAAGGTAGAATCATATAGAAAGGATGTACATATTTTTAAGGTAAGGAGCTCTGGTAGCGTAGGGATTACTAATCGGGCTGCTAACATCACGGTCAGCAGTTCAAAACTACCAGCTGTTCCATGGGAGAAAGATGAGCCTTTCTGCTCCTATAAAGATTTACAGCCTTGGAAACCCTGTACAGGGTAGCTATGAGTCAGAACCCACTCCACGGCACATAACAACAACAACAACAGGTAACTGATGTGGCACTGTAGGAAAAGTACTGGACTGGAAATTCAAAGCTAGCAGCTGCTCCTTGGAAACCCTGTACAGGGTCACTATGAGTTGGAAACGATTTGATGGAACTTAACAACAGGAAGAAGTCTTTTAGGTATATTTTATTTTACCTCAATGGCACCCATATGTATATCATATATGTGTTAGTGGGAAAGAAACATGAATCTAGATGAATTTATATGAAAGAAACATGCATTTTTCAAAAACATATTCCCTATTTGAAGCCTTGGCTCATAAAATGTTCTTTACTTTGACCTAAGGTACCCTGGTGATGCAGTGGGGTAAGTGTTGGGTTGCTGATCACAAGCTGGGTGGTTTAAACCCACAAGCAGCTCCTCAAGAGAAAGATGAAGCTATCTGCTCCTGTAAAGATTTTCCGTCTCAGAAACCCAAAGGCTCCTACTCTGTCAGGATCTAATTTTTCTTCATTTTTATTGTTTGACTTGGTCTGAACCTCCATTTCAGCACAGGTTTTTCCTGTGGGCACTGAGATGAAAAATGAGAGCATAAAATGAACCTGGAGTAATCCTATTGTTCTTCTGGCCAGACTTCCCTTCCATCAAGTTCTAATGTGACTCACCGTTCTCCAGTGAAACCTGGCCGGCACTTGCATTTGAATTCACCCTGGAAGTCTGTGCATTCACCTTCATTGTAGCAAGTGAGATTTGTCTTCTCATTCCCACAGTCTGTTGAGGGTAATCTGGTATGTCAGAAGAGATAAGAGTAGTACTCACAGCTGTTCATCTTGCTCATTTCATTCAAGAAAACTTTTTTTGAAAAGTTCATATATGTAGACAATGCCAAACTAATTAAGAACTCAGGCTGGCTGAGCTACAATTGCTTAATTGGGCTGTATGACACTGAAATTACTTTCCCCAGTAAAAAGTTCCTGCTGTAAGAAGCATAGCTATCCATCTTCCTCTTCTACTGCTTTCATTCGTGAGATAAGATCTATGCCATGGTGTGGCAATAAATTTAGGATTGGAAGGGAGCTTGCTATAGGAGATTTGCTGCTGCTTTGCCAATAAATCAACAAAGGCCATAGGAAAATTGCATCTCTATAAAGGCCAGCAAAGCAAGGACAACACTCTGGTACCCAAACATTCATGTGATTTCTCTGTTGACTTTCAGAGCTGAACTCAGGTTGCCCTGCCAAGACTTGCTGCTCCCTGTCTAATAATTCATAACTTAGCAGAATGCAAGCCAAATGTTGTCCAGGAGGTTTGTATACAGCGCTTAATGGTAACTGCCTGTGAATTCAGTATGTGGCTCTCTTGTATAACAACAAAGCTGTTTATGCTATGGAATCCTTAGAAAATGTAGAACAGCTTGTTGAAAGCTAAACAGACAATGAAGGGACTGGTTTTGCAAAGATATTGAAGGTGCTGCTCTGGTCCTTTGACCCGTTGTGTATGTGCCTGGCATTTGACACATCATAAGCATCGGAGAAATATTAGATGAACTGGATTTTGTCCTGTTGTATGCATTGCACTTATATGAGGAAATTAGCCTATATAGGAAGACAAGTGTGCCTCTTCCCACATGAGCTAATAATCAATTCTGCTTAAAAGAGAACTATCATAGGGATGTTTCCAAAGAGTCAAACATCCCAACCAGAAAGAGGTCAATTAACAATGCAAATGTGAAGTTTTGTATACAATCTTAGGTTTAGTAAACAATTCTTGAAACTCATTAGAAGGTACTTTTGAGAACTCGGGTCTTTGAGAACTTGATTTTGATGAATTAGGCTGAGAAAATACTTGCAGAAATAATTCCTTTTAAGGCATATACCTGTTTATTTTATTTATTCAAAGTCACTGTGGCAATACTATTGGTTTTGATTCTGAATTTCTCTTGCTTTAATCAGGCAGTTGACTTGTTGGTAAATAAGTTGGTTAACACATAGGAAGTAACCTTTTATTTGAATGCCAGCTTTTAGTATCTATCACCATTCCTTGCTTTGGTAGACTCTGAATAACATTAAGTGTTAAGGAGATAAATGCTATTTCTTATAGGAGTAGCTATATAATATCAATTAAATGAAAGAATCACCTATTAAGAACCACCTCTGAATGCCACCCTACTTCAGGTGTTCTTGTCAAAACCCTGGCATATACCCTATTACTTCTTACTAAGAACTCATTCACCTCCCTATGCCATAATATATATTTTTTCTTTAGTAAGTTTTAAGCAGTATAAAAATTATGAAGACAATGATTATTTTGCTCATAGGGAAGCAATGTGACTTAAAGGGAACATGTTCATTGTTGTCTCTTTATATAACATAAAATGGTATTACTGGAACTAAAATAATGCTTTTATATTTTATGGAAGACATTGAAAATGGATAAAGAGATCAGTGAGTTTTCTTTCAATAGAATGCTGGCCATTATACAAATTTCAACAAATTTGTGAAATAATTTCATTATTTTTTAAATTCCATTCATTGTCCATGGACATCATGAAGTTTCTTTGTATAGCAGATACTCTGAGATTATTGAATTCTGTTGGGGTGCATATATCAGGTTCTCTTTACTAAGCTATTGGTACAAATGAACCTTGTGCATAGAACTGTAAATTAATTTGTCTATAATGATAAACAATTGATTTTCACATTGTAGAAAAGATGATTCCAAAGATTAATTTTATCACCCTGTAGGATATTAAATAGTTTCTCATGATTGGCAAAATTTATTTTTTAATTCCTGTTCCTTAGATGGCTCTTTGAACTTATTTTTATATCTTGTTCCCTCATTAATTAATGAGTTAAATAATGCCCTCAACATATGATTATTCTATATTTGTATCAGAATCAATCAAGATTTCATGTTTTTGAAATTATGCTTTGATGCATTCTTTTCAGTATTTTGTAATATTTATCTGTGTGAAATCACCGAAGCCTCATTTTAGTGATAGGAGTCATGCCTTCCCGTAGAAGAATGCTGAAATTCACAGTTAATTTTTTTTGCATCTGTTGGTAATCTGCCTCTTCCTCCAAAGATATTAAGATCATCGGATTCCAGGCCTGTCGTCCTTGGAACTTTCTAACAAAGATGACTGAGAAAGTAAATCTGCTCCTCAGAACACTCCCGTTCTTATGTACAGAACATCCCAGCTGGTGAGATCCCATCTTTCCATGATCAACTCTGATGGGACTAATACCACCCCTTGCAGCACAGACTATCTTTACATGCCTTGAAGAGAGAAATTTTCAATCAGTCAAAGAGAATCAAGAGCTTAGCTCTAAAGTCCAAGCTTCATATGAATTTCATGCTCACCTGCAAAAATTTCCTGTAAAGTTCTCCAAGCAGAGACAAGAATAGCCATTAGTGTCACTGATGCAGGTAGCTCCGTTTACACACTGGTGTCTCCTGCAGGTGTCTAGCTCTACTTCACAGTGCACACCCATGTATCCAGGCTCACAACTGCAAAAGTAGGTTGCAATTCTGTCAGAGCAGTTACCATGGATACAGGGGTTTGAAAAGCATTCATCACTGTTGAGTTCACAGTGTGTGCCTGACCATCCCAAGGGACAGGAGCAATGATAGGAGCTGTAGATATCCTCACAATTTCCACCATGCAAATGGGGGTTGGAGTTGCAGGCATTCACCTCCAAACAGCCAGGGACCGCTGAATTTGTAGGGATTTTGAGAAACTGCTCTTCCTGAGGATTACCAGTGAAACCATGAACATTTTCAGAGTAAGAGAGATAAATACCACCGATACACCCTTGCAAGCCATTCTTATTGTCCAAAGTTTGGTCACCAACATAATGTCTGTGTCCGCCTTTAAAAAGTTGAGGTTTCCTGTAGCAACTGTACTGGTCACAAATGGTGTTTGGTTGTCCATTCCCATTTGCCACTTGGAGGGTTGGCCCAGTGAGTCTGTCATGGAGAGTCACTTGGTGCCATGTGCCATCATTTACTCGCTGCAAACTTGTCAGACTCATCATATAAAAACTGTTACCACTTTGCTATTGAAATGACAATCTGGAGTCTTGAATATTGATATTAAGAAAGTCAGGCTCTTTCTCTGAATGTAATATTATCCCATTTATATTACTTGTTCTAAAACCAAATGTGATGTTGGTGAGATCTCTGGTAATATATCCATTGCTCCTGAGTAATGTTCCACTGCTTGGTCCATTAAAAACAGCATTTGTAATACCTAAAGAGAGATAATATCAATCAGCAAATTATTTACAACTGTAATGTTGCCTTAATTACCCTTATTAAGAGTCACGATTGTCATGCTAATGGCCACCATGTATGGGCTAGGCACTGTGTTCCTTTCTTTCATATTATTTGCAACACAGAGCCCTTGCATACAGATATTATTATTATTGCAATCCTGATCTATAGAAGAACAAACTGAGATTCAGAGAAGTTAAGTACTATGTTCATGGTCCTGTGGCTAATAAAGGATGGAACCAGAATACCAAACCTGGTTGGTCTGATATAAAAACCCATACCCTACATTTCTTTCCTACTGGAAGAACAATATTTACTTTGTATATGTTGCCACAAAAAAGCACTACACATTTTAAACATAAAGAACTTGAGCACAAAGAAATTATAAATCTGGTTAGGGTAACACAGCAAATTAACAGTAGAATCTGGCTATAGACTAAAGTGGTCACGGAGTAAGTAAACAACCAGAAGCTGGACTCCAAAATGATGGATTTACTTAGCTGGGAAAACTCCAATCACATGCAGATCTACCCAGTCTGTGTCTACACTCAAGTAGCTGCATGTGACTGGTGCAAACCCACGAGCTGCTCCTCAGAAACTCTGCCTTGAGGGCACTTAACAACAACAACAGATTACTTTTAGTGTCTCTGCTTCCATTCCCCTGCAGATTAATATAGCAATCACTTTTTGCTCAAGACCCCTATCAGTTATCATCACATTTAGAATGAAATCCTAAATTCTAAACATGACCTAGGAGAGTACATGTCATCTGACCCCCAACTAACTTTCCACTCCTACTTCCTACCAATCTTTCTCATCCCATGCCACAGTCACACAGCTTTCTGATACTCGTTGAAGATACCAAGTTCGTTCCCAACACAGGTCTTTTACTGCTGTGACTTATACTTCAAATATTCTTCCCCTAAATCTTCCCACATCTGACTCTTTTACCACATTAATAAATAATGTGTTTAAATGCCAATTCCTCTGGGAAGCCTTTCCCTGCTAAGCAAGTTGAAACAGCTATCTTTCTGAAACCTCTCTCTAGTACATTGCTCTTATTTTCCTTTTGCTTTAAGCAAAAGTAAAAATTTGCTGAAGATAATTAAGAAATGGATGCAGAAGTACACTGACAGAAATTCAAGTCAGATTCAGGGGAGGATGTGGAAAGAGGGATGTCATTGCTGATATCGGATGGATCTTGACTGAAAGCAGGCAGTAACAGAAAGGCGTTTACCCGTATTTTATTGACTATGCAAAGACTTCGACTGTATGGATTGTAACAAATTATGGGTAACATTCTAAAGAATGAGAATTTCAGAACACTCAACTTGGGCTCATGTGGGACCAGCATATATACCAAGTGGTAATTGTTTTAACAGAACAAGGGAATATTGCTTGGTTTTATGAAAGGTGTTCATCAGGGTTGTATCTTTTCATCATATTTACTGAATCTGTATGCTGAGAAAATAACTCAAACTGAGAAACTGGACTAAATAAAGAAGAATGAAACATAAGGATTAGAGGAAGATTCATCAACAACCAGCAATATGCAGATGATACAACCTTGCTGAAAGTGAAAAGGGCTTGAAGAACTTACTGATGAAGATGAAAAACAAAACAAAAAACCTACACCCTCTATGTATGGATTACATGTCAACATAAAGAAAACAAAAGTTCTCACAATTGGACCAATAAGCAACAACATGATAAATGATTGAAGTTGTCAAAGATTTCACTTTACTTCGATTCACAATCAATGTCCATGGAAGCAGTGGTCAGGAAATCAAGGGACTCATTCCTTTGTTCAAATGAAAAGATTCGTTTTGAAGACTAGGGTATGCCTGACCCAAGCCATGGTATTTTCAATTACTTATATGCATGCGAAGTTGGACCAAAGAAAAATTGATTTCTTTGAATTATGGGAAGAATACTGTATATGCCATGAACTGTCATAAGAACAAACTAATCTTCCTTGGAAGAACAGCCAGAATGTTGTATATATCACATATTTTGGACATGCTATCAGGAGGTACCAGTTCCTGGATAAGAGTATCAAATTTGGTAAAGTCAACAAACATGAGGAAGACTGTTAATTAGATGGAATGACACAGTGGTTGCAACAATGGGCTCAAACATGGCAATGATTGTGAGGATGGTGCAGGACTGGGTAATGTGTTGTTCTGTTGTACCAAGGGTTACTCTGAGTCAGAATTGGCACAACAGCATGCAAACATTGCTTGATGTAAACATGGACTAAATGAATGGTCTATAAAACTCCTCCATCTTTTTTATGGAAAGTGAGATCATTTTTAGAAACTACAGTAGGACAAAATTCATGTGTGTCATTGGATTGAGTTAACACTTCAATTGATTTTATTATTTAGATTGTGACATTTTTCTACCTGGTTTTGGGCAGGGGTTTGGTAAGGGAAAGACAAAGAAGTGTCTCATTTTATATTTTATCAAGAAACTTTTTTAACTTTTTACAACATTGATCTTATACAATAGTTTGCATTTGTGATTGACTAATTTCATTCAGCATCATGCCCTCCAGGTTCTTCCATGCGGTGAGGTGTTTTGCAGATTCATCATTATTCTACAACATTACATATTATTCCATTGTGTGTATGTTCTAAAGTTTGTTTAACCATTCTTCCATTGATGGTCATTTAGGCTGTCTCCATCTTTTTGATATGTCTTTTGTAGACTGCATGTTGAAGGATCCTGTTTTCTTATCTGTTCATCTCATTCTCTGTCTCTTGATTGGTGCATTTAATTAATTTATATTCAGTGTAAATATCTATAAGTATGAATTGATTGCTGTCATTTTTCAGTTATTTATTCATTTTTTTGTGCTGCTGCTGGTTTCTTTGTTTCACAAATTTTCTGCACTGAGTTCATATTGTAGGTTTTCCTTTCATTTTCATTTCTATTGTGTTAATGTTTAGTAAATCTTTCTGATTTTCCTCTTTTTTATTTTAATGTTCAAGTATTAATTTCTTTGAGGTTACCCTGTAACTTATTAATTTTTTCCCCTACTTAAAATAGTATGTTTTATCTTGAAATCTACTTGCCTTCTTGGCCATTTGGAAGTTCTGTATCTATACTATTCCCTCTTTTTGCTTTTTAAATGACTTCATTATAGTTTGCTATCTCTGATCCTCTATTTTCAGTATTGCAGGTTTGTGTTACTTTAAATACTTCTGTATCTAGAATGAGTTCTGGGTGGTGGTGTTATATTTGGTAATCTCAGGTTGCTGTCTGCTATTGTTGGTTCTTAGTACAAATAATACTCTAAAGCATTGTTTTGTTAAGTTGGTCTGGTCATTAAAAATTCCTTTAATTTCTGTTTATCATGAAATGTCCTAATTTTGCTATTGAATTTGAGAGACATCATTGGTGGGTACATGATTCTTTATTGGCATTTTTTTTTTTCTTTCAGAATTTTGTATATGTCATTTTATTGCCTTCTGGTTTCCATAGTTTCTTCTGAGAAATCAGAAGTTAGTCTTATTGGTTCTCCTTTGTAGGTAACTTTTTGTTTTCCCTCAGCTGTGCTCAGGATGGATCTTGCATCTGGCAAGAGTGTCTCATTTCATATTTTAAAGTAAATGTTAAAATGACATATCTAATTAGTTCTACGTCTCCTAAAGGAAGAGCACATCTATAATTTGATATAAATTTGTTTTTCTAATGTTACTTTTAACACTGAAATCACTTCTTGTGATCTGGGTGTAAACCACAATGCACATAACAAACTTTCTATTTTGGCTTTTATTCAGGTATCTTTGCCATGATAAACACACCTGTGGCTAAGGTAGTTTGTACTTTTTTAAAGCTTGGTTTTGCTACAGGATGCAGAGAAAGAGATGATTACCATCCTAAAGGCAAACTCAGGCTAATGCTGCATGAGCTGTATTATTGAGAGTATTTTGCTCTAGGAGATCTAACCTTTTGCATATAGTCATATTTTACTTAGAAAACAAAATACAGCATGGTTAGGGAGAGGAGAGGGAGAGGAGAGGGAGAGGAGAGGGAGTGCTCTCGTAGCGTAGTTGTTACGAATCAGGTTG